AGAGGTGTAAAGAAATACATGTTAAGATCTTTTACTTTCCTGCAGTGACTAATGATTTTCAGAAAGAAAACACAAAACGTTAAAGAAACGTAAAATATTATGAACTGCATATTATTATTTTCTTTCAGCTAGTAACAATGTTTCAAGTCCTTGTAGATTTATTGAAGATGTTAAGAAGGATAATTTCATTTTGGAAAAACATCATCATAATGATCAACAAGAAGTTACATTGGAAGTTGTACCTAAAAGAGAGAGGAAAATGCACAAAAACTCTCAACAAAACAGGTGAGTTGTACTTATCAATTTATAGTTTTTTTTCATTGAATCAATTTTTCAGAATATCTCTTCAGTTGATTTTTATAGTTAAGAATCTGTATAACTAAAGATTGAATTTTTGCTTGAAATTGGTAAATATACGCCTGGCAGAAACAGTCTTCTTGTATGTCACGTAAAAGTTCTCCCCTGAGCTGAGTGATAACTGACTTATTAGAAGTCACTCAACTCTATGCAAAATAGAGCAAGTTCACTTTGCTTATATACACCTCCTGAAAACAAAGAAGTTTTATCCATTTCGTTGATCTGTGACTTATTTGAACAAAATTACGAGATCTTATCTCTCAGTTTGAGGTACGTACCTGGTTCTTTTTATTGGAGATCTTGGTCTGGATTCATCTTCATTCTGATCTTCCAGATCCATGTCAGATTCGTGTGAATTATCCTCGATAGTTTCTTTACTACTATGTTTGCTTTCTTCATCAGAAGCACGCTTTCCCCATTTTCAAGGTGCCCCTCCTCTTTCATCTTTACTTTTTCATCATCAATTCTGAGTATTATAAATTCTGTCCATTTGTTGTACGAGCTTAAAAGCAGCCATAAAGGACGGTTTTTAAGCTAGATCCTGCAGAGGGTTCTTGATTGGGCCTTCATCACGATAGGTAGGGAGGAATAGTGATTTTCCAAGCGTAGCTCAGATGTGGCACAAGGCCGAAAGTATGGGGCACCCAGTGAGGATAGAACTCACTACTCAGTCGTAATTGTTCTAGCGAGACAAGCTTGCTAACCATTACACCACCCCGAGGTGCCCTAGGTAGGGAGGAATAGATGCGATAGGCAACAATAAACTACAGAACTCAAAATTTTTCACTGCCTTTAAGTATTGCATTAATATCCAAGCTTACCTTTTAAAATAGGTACCTCCACTAGCTCGCTGAAAAAACAGCATACCATGATGAAAAAACGTCTACAAACTTAATAAAAACATTTGTATCGTTAAAATGTTTCTATTATTATTAAGAGGAAAGACCAAAGTATTTTTTTAATTATTTTTACAAATTTTTCAAATCTAACACATTCGAAATTTTGGTTAAAAATCTTGTTTCTTTTTTTTACGTCATTTACCCACCGACTTAATTGCATGAAATTTTGCGAAATTAATTTTTCTTTCCACAATGTTTTTATTAGTTAAAAATAGGACTCCTTGGAGAATGTAAACCATCCATTTTCTTTTTCAAACTTTTACTATTTTTTTTACTGAAAATCTCCTCTGAATGGTAAACTAAAAAATGTAATCAAACTATGACATTATTTAATTAGAAAAGCTTTTAATTGCTTTTTTAAATAAGTTATATTAAGGACACTACTGTCTTAAGAAAAAACCTTTTCGATGAATAATGAATTTTTACAAAGATTTTGCATTTTTTAAAAATTTTAATTATAATAATTTATAATAATTTAAAAATCATTTAAAATTTTCTGTTATCTTTCTTTCCTTTATGTGATATTGTAATTACAAATCCAAAATTGAAAAGTTTAATAAATGTTGTTGAATAAGACATCTATTATATTTTTAAAATAGTTTTTTATTTTTTATTTTTTTTACTTTAATCGTTCCATTTTTCATCTATGGTAGCCTAAACATTGCACTATTATGAAAAGGTCACGTGCTTGGATTGAAGAAAATAGAAAAATGTTTTTAGCTAATGTTAATTAAAGTTTATTATTTATGAGTAAAGAATATTTTAATTATTATAAAAAATTTGCAGATCAATTTGTTAATTTTCTTGCTTACATATCTTTATTTTAATTTCATCTGTTATTAAATTTTAAAATTAATTTAAGAAAATTTTATAGTATTTTAAATTTTTTATTTTTTCATAAAGCATCTTCAAACGTAACGAAAAGTCAATAAAATATTAGATAATTGCTTAAAATATGTTAATCTATAAAAATTACTAGGTAGTTAAAAACAAAAAAAAACCTTCACTTAGATTTCATAAATTTACGCCAATTCTAGTCGTCTATACTAGCTGTCATCACCTCGGAACTTATCAATACGTCAATAAAGATTAAAAATAAACAGGGACCGTCGTTAAGAAATGTTTGTATAATTATATATTACATTTTTATGCTATAAGTAAGTAATATTTATTTCAAATCAGATTAATTTAACTTTAAATTTGCTAATTTTACTCAAATAACGTGTCACAAATATATATTTTATTTTTGGAAGATTTTTAAAACAGATAATTTTGTTTTGTTTACAAAATTCTTAAAATTAAGAACATGGCCATTTGTAAGAAGATTTTCTGAAATCGACCAAAATGTTGAGATCTCGATCTATATAATTTCTATTTGAAATACACCAGAATATTTTACTAGAAAAAGTAAATTTAATCATTTAGCTTTCAATTAAAGCTAAAATGAAAACTTCAAGAATACTTTTTCATTTTAAAAATTCATTTTAAACCTTAAGTATCGAAAATTTATACCGAATTAGTTGAGGTACCTATTTTAAAAGTTCAACGATAATTCTTCTTCACTTAATTTAGAGACGATTTGATGTACGTAGGTCCTTACTTTCCGTACAAACAATTACCTTTATTTCATGGGTGACTTTCGCTTAATTTCGATTATTCCCAAATTTATTTCCAAGTTATAAAAATTGTTATCGTACAAAAACTTCGTTGCAAAAATCACCTAAAAAATCGCCGAAAACAATGAAATGAAAACTTGGGAATCCAAAATTTCAAGATTGTGGGTCCGGAATGTTTTTACTTTGCTCACAGAGTCAACCTGATTCCAAAATGATATGTTGGGCTATTTCGGCCTCTAGGGGTAAAGTTGAAACAGTGTGATACAATGACACATTGACATTCGCGTTTATTATATAGATAATGTCAATAAAGTTAGATTTTTGAATACTTGATTATCTGTCTTTTTGTACCACATTTTTCATTTGTTGAATAAGACATCTTTATAGGGATCTAATTTGTCTTCTACCGGCATGTGGAATAGTTCTATAACTCAGTAATAATCTCGGTAGGTAATTATCTATGGTGTCTTTAGATGGAGAAAATACCTTCAACCCCATTTTCACCGCCTGCACCATTCTTTCTGCAATTCCATTTGGTAGTATGATGGCGTTTTATTAGGGTGGTATCCAGTTTGTTTTAACCACACACACTAAGTATCATCTTAAAATTTTGATGCATTGTAAAAGACTAACGTTTTTGGCATACCATTTCTGGAAAATATTACTCATATTTTCATTAATGTGGCTGCCTTCCTATCCTGAACTCTACGTATTTTTCTACATCACACGAAAATCCAGGCCATAAGATAGCTAACACTTTTTTTTCAATATTTGAATAGTTAACCTCGGCTGATGTTAAACTTCTAGAAAAGTATATTATAGGATAATGTTCCTGAGACAAAATCGCTGATATCGCACACTCGCTGTAATTAAAGTTACTTCCGCTTTAGTAATTAAAGTTACTTCCTTTTTAGGGTTAAACATTTTTACAATGTTTTTTTTTAAATTTTTTTTTATAAGGGCTTTCTTTAAATTTTAAAATGCTATATTCTGCCATTGAGTTCATTTAAATTAAATTTCCTTTTTTTTCATAACTCCGCAAAGGGTTCTATCAATTCACTATACTTTGGCAAATATCTGCTATAAAAACCATAACCATAAAAATTCCAATTCTTTTGTATTCGTAGGTGTAGATACCACTACTATTTTGTTATCAAATTTGGGTCTGGTGAAATTCCATCTTTGGAAATCTGTTATCGCAGATATATTATTTTGTCGCAATTTGTCATACATTTATTCTTGTCTGTGGTCATCCCTGCATTTTTTAATTTGTTTAAAACATAATCCTTTTGTTGTTGTTGTTGTTGTTGTTTTACCTCATCTCTTCTGTTAGCACCAGTACATATATCGTCATATTCTTAACCCCATCAATTAGTACATTTTCAATGGTTTTCCGAAAAATAACACTTGCTGTTTTTACACCATAAGGCATACACATCCATCTGAATAAGCCTATTGGAGAGTTAATAATAGTGAGCTCTTTAAATTTTCCATCAATTTATATCATCAGTTTATGATCTGAGGTTAAGTTTGGCAAAATATTTAATTCCCGACACCTCGTGAATAGCAGTTTTAGTAGGAACAAGTCGGATCGTATTTTGTGGTTTACTCCTATTTTGCAATTGCAATTCTGAAATCTCCACCCGGTTTTTGTAAAACAACAATTGGTGAGACCCAATTACTACCACCAGGGTGGAATATGTTCTAAAATTCCTTGCTTCACCATCGTTTTCAGTTGAGCAACTACTAAAGGTAGCATGCGTATAGGCAATCTGCAAGACATAAAGTATAAAAATTTAGTTAGTAGGGATAATCATTGGAAAAGTGAACACGTGACCGCTCTTATTCCTAAAGTTGAACAAGGCACAAATAAGACTCAACCACGACGTAAAATTTAAAAGAACAAACATATATTACAGTACATAAAAGACAAATATAATATTTTCAAACAAGAGCTTGCACAAATGTATCCTTTTGTGTGCCTTATACAAAACTAAGACTGTATAACAAATCAAATATACAAGACAAAAAAGATTACCTTTTTTTTGAAAATGAAAGCAAGTAAAAAAAAAATGAAATAAGACAGAAATCTCAGCAAGTTGGGAGTTTTGTAGTTTGAAATGATGTCATGGGAACTTTTTGTTTTTCCTTTACTGAAAAGTTCAATTTGAGTTTTTAGTTTCTTTGAAATTCTTCCAGCACAAATGGATTAACCTCATGAGACTTGTAGCTGACGTCTGGTGAAGCCAAGCTGTTCACAGAGTGGGTCCTATGCGACTCACTCCACTAATGCCCAATACAATGTCTTTCACTGGATCGAGGAGTAACACGTAAGGATTGACGACTGGGGAAAACCTTATGGTGCTGGGGCTTACGACAGCACTCAAAATTGGGCTGAAAATGAATGTTAGTAAAACTAGGGAAGGTAACTTTAACACTCACTGTTGAAAACGCCGCACCTTGAAAAATAACCTTTGTGGACAAAGGTTATTTTTCAAGGTGCGGCGTTGGAAAAGCAACCTTGAGGCAGCATTCCCAGACCCCCCACCCCAACATGGCACTAATGCCAATACCTAGGACATGAAAGGTCACTGAACAGAGGAGTAGCACATAAGGCCTGACGATTCTCCTTGAGGAAAACTTTCTGGAACTGAGGCTTACGACATCACTCAACCTCGGGTTGGAAAAGAGTCATAGTAAGACTAAGGAAGGTAACCCTAACACTCCCTGTCCACAAAGGTTATTCTATCAACGTGTGGTGTAGCAAAAAGCAACCACGAGCCTCTCTGCGGACCATTCGCCTGCCTCCGCCCCACAACAGGAAGAGGAGCAGGCGCTTGATCACTTTCCGATGACCATCAGAGAGAGGAAATCCCGACAACCAATAAAGATGTACATGGCGCACACCTCAGCCCTCCCCTTTAAGGACAACTGCCATTGGAGTCAATTTTTTGTCTGTACCTCCGAGCTGTAGGTCGGGCCTGAATCACTTCTAGAATGTATATGGGACCGTCAGTCCAACTGAAGTAGCCTATAAGAGCGACACCCTTCCAAGAGCCCAAATTCAAGCCGGAAGATTTGTTATGGTTAATTTTGGCCCCCATAAGACTCTCGTACTTTTCAAGCAACTTCTGCACCACCTCAATGTCGCTTTGGCACGACACGAAAATGGATATGTCATCGGTGTATGCAGAAACATTGGCTTGAGCCTTCCCAGAAAGACCGAAAATAGCATAGGATTGGTCTGCACGCACTGTCCTTCAGCCTGCGCAGGAGGGGCTCCAGCGCCAGAGCATAAAGAACAACAAACAAACCTGATGAACAGACCGGGACAGCAAAAAGAACCTCGACCACTTTCCATTCACTTGTACTACAGCGCTGGGGGAGCGATACAGGAGGCTAATCCGCTTACAGAAGTCGGGTTAGAATCCGTCGGCTTGCGGGAGAGCTAACAGGTACTGATGGTTGACACTGTTGAATGCCTTTGAACTGATCCAAAATGATCAGTGCAGCTTTTACGTCCTCTATGATCGTGTGGATCAGATGCAGGCTGCTCAGAATTGTTCGGCCCTTCACAGCACAAGTCCGCTCTTGTCCCAACAAAATCTCGGTAATTGACTGTAAACGCGCCATCAGGATCTTGGTCAAAATCTTTAACCTCTGTGTTTAGCAGAGTTATGAGCCGGTAGTTGTCGTGTTCTCTCCTAACATGCTTGTTCTTTTTTTAACAGTGTGATCGCACCTTTGAAGAATCGATTGGAGGACGGATCCCTGACAGAACCACTTGTTGAACACTACTGTAAAGATAGGTAAAAAATGTTCAACCATCTCAAGTACAATTTGTGGGGTAGAGAGTAAGTCCCAGAGTCTTTCCTCTGCCAACCCTATCCAATGCCTCATAGACTTCAGCTTTTGTGATCTCATCCTCGGCCAGCCGCTTCAGTCGAAGAAAGCTGGTAAATCGATTTTGTAAATGCTGCCGAAACGCCTCGCACATGTCATTAGTCGACTGCAGGCTACGATCATCCAGCATATCGTCCTTATAAATGTAACGATCAACATTTTTCGGTTTTGTGCAATTATGCGCCCATATGCACAGTTTAGACATTTTAGTTAATTTAGCCCTAACCCACCTTGATAGTGCTTGCTAGCCAAATGCTTCACAGCCTAACTAAGTCTATCTCTAGAGCATTCCTCACCAACAGCCCAGGTCAGATTATCCTTTAATGTCTTCACCTTCTCATGCAGAATATTGGCTAAATTCAGTGGTAAAAGACCTAATCCCATCTTTAAGGTCCTCCCACCACTTATTCCCAACTCCCACTGCACTACTATAATCAGCTGTAGCCAGAAGTCCGTCTTGCCCAGCAAGGACACAGTGAATGTCTCGGCTTCGTCATCCGGGTTTGTGGTCCGAATAGCCTAACGAATGAAACGTGGGACAATCTAGTAGATCTAGATTGACTCTTCTTGCCAATATTCTATTCAGGTAGCTGACCACCTGGGTAGACGACCAGTTATGAGTCCAGTTCATATCAACCGCCCGAAGCCATCGACTCTGTATCTATCAACGAGACCAATTATCCAATCAGCTCAACCAGGCTACAATCACTCAACCTCCCGCTAGAGCTCTGTCATCTGTATAACTTCAGGTCCAGTATGGCATTCCAGTCCTCCGTTAAAACTAGGTACGCTGGATCCACCAGGAATGGCCCAATCCGACGGAAGAACGAATGACGCACCCTCCGATCATTGGGCGTATAAACCACAACGACCTGAAATGTACCACTTTTACGGTAATATCGGCCACGACCAACTAGCCCCCACGCTGACATGGACCAAGTTCATTCTCGCATCCAGAAAACGCTTAATCAGCAAGGAAACTCCTTTAGCCACTTGGTCCCCATATGCTGAATAGACAACAACGTCGCTTACAACACATGACCATTGATGTCGCAAACAAAGTGAGTCTGCTGAATCACAGGCACATCCATTCCAAAGGACAAGAGATCACGAAGCGAGCAGGCCGCCTTACTCGATCTCTCAAGCCCTTCGCATTTAAACTAACCAATTTGATAGCCCTCTTTTAGGCCTTAATCACACTGGGCGAAAATCTACGTAGTTCAGAAACCTGACGGACTATCCTATGCTACCAGAGCCTATTTTGGACGTAACCCGACCATCGTTGACAGTCCCGACGACGTTCGTAAAGAAGGTAAGTTTTACATATAGATATAAAGAGAGGTAAATCAAAACAAGGGCTCTCACAAAACAGTTTTTTGATATTTTTTGAGCTCGTGTGATGCGATCGGTACCATCCTGAGACCTGGGATGGATTAATTGGTAGTAGAGATATTTAGTCTGTCACCAGTGTTCTTTATTAGAGTAATTACCCCGGAGTGTCAACAGAAGTACATTTGAACAGTGACTTCAAGAGGGCTCACAGAAAGGTCCTTTTCAGCTTCCATTCTGACGACATTATAATTTCACAACTTGGGCAGGCTTTCATTTTTTGAGACGTGCTGGGGACGGAGATACTGGAGTCCTAGAGGGAGAAGAGAAGCTCTTTGCCTTACCTGTCTTCGTTTATTGCTGGCAAAAAGGGCAAGATTGTCTTGGTAAATTCCTTTACTTTCTCTGCCCTGCTTCGCCGTCTTCTTCCTTTTCATTCTTTCTTTTTTGCTTCATCCCCACTGTTCACGCTGAAGCATTACTCCCATCACCTTCTTGCTATGGTCGCTGTTACGTTAGCTGCCGTAGCCACGACTGCTACTGTGTGTGTGGCCGTTGTTGTTGTTACTGCTATTTTTGTTTTTTTCTCCCATTCCTTCTGCAGGTGGTTCTTCGGAGGGGGGAAGACTGCTTCTTACCAGGAATATCCTGCTGGGGAGTGGTAGGAAACCTTTGTCCCCTTTCTCACCACCAGTTTACAACCATCAGTGGCATTCTTGGGCTTCTCAGACCCCACCGCTTCCTTAGTTGTTTCTTGTTTGGACTGTGGTCCGGAATTCCTACGTCCTTGGACAAATGTCCCATGTCCGTTTCCTTCTTGTCCAGCAGGATGTCCTACATAGCGTTGCTTCCTTTGCACAATACCCTTACTGGGATGCTGAGGCTCTTCAGGGCATCTTCAATGGTCTCCCTGCTAACTCCAAAAACTTCATGGTGCTTACATCTGTTGTTAACAGGGAGACAGTTCTCATTGCTACTGCCTCCAGGACCGAGGATATCGACAAGAGCTCATTACCGGAAATGGACTCTTAGGACTGCCCTTGTATCGTCGCCAAATGTGTGGCATCCTTTTTCCCGGTCTTTCTGACTCCCAAAAAGTTTCTTTTTCAGTCGTAGATAGTTCCTACCGAGATGTTTGCTGGGTACCCTCACCATCTTGGCAGGATGCACCAAACAGCACAATAACGAAAAATAATTTCAATAAATTAAAAAAGACAGTCGCCAACTTGCCAGAAACTGACTCAACAATACAAATTTTCAAGCAAAAATGGTCAAACTCACTGAATAAGAAAAGTCCAACTAGTAACAAATTTTGATCTGGGTCTGAAAAAAATCCATATAGAAATGACAAGCCATATGATGAATGTGACATAGAAGTTCTCCCCCAAGCTTGACTCTATACAAATTCCGGTAGAGAGAGTCGTTGCCTTTCTGCCCTGGTTGACTTTAAGCTGATGTTAAAAAACAAGATCTGTTGGGGAGAGGTAAACTTCTCGTCCCCATAGAATCCCAGTCCCGTTAAACAAAGTTTTTCGGCAGCCCAGAGGGCGCTTCGCAACACTAACCATCAGTGAGGCAATTCAACCCAGATGGCCAAGGTCATAAGGATCGAGTCTCTTGCTTCGTAAGACCGATTTTGTCTATCTGCTTACCTTGAGCGGCCCCTCTAACTATATAATGATATGATGCCTGCCGGATAAAGACTGGGTGTCGGAAATGACAAGAATCACTGGCAGGAAGAACGACAGCGCTTGGACATTCACGAAAACGGCTGCCGCAAGAACAGCCTCCAGAAAGCGATGGTCAACCCTATCAAAAGCCTTGGACTGATTTAAATTGATCAGCGCGGTTTCATTGTCGACTTGCCCGATGATCAAGTGCACCAATGGTTATCCTGAATAGTCCTACACTTCACAGCACAAGTCTGCTCAGAGAGGGTAGCTTTCAAACGGGCGGCTAAGATCTTGGCCCAAATCTTTAACTTTGTATTTATCATCATTAAGGGCCGAAAATCTCATACCCACCGTTTTTGTCCTTGCGTAGCAACTTGATCACACATCTGGTGAAGCATTTAGGTATAGAGCTCTGCTTCATTCATTTGTTGAAAATCAGTTGAAGCAAAGAAGAAAAAACGGGCAATTGCCTCAAGTACAATTCGTAATGAATCCCATTTAATCCCAGAGTTTCTTCCAGGCCAGCCAGTTTCAGTGCTTCCCAGATCTCAGACTCTGTAATGGGAACCTCGCACTGAGCTTCGAGCCGAAGAAAGTCGGCCAAATAGGCATCGACATGAGCAGGGCTCAAACTGGGCTCCGTAGTAAACAGATCCTGAAAGTAGTTCAAAAAGCTATATTTATTGCCTTGAAAAACATTCTTTTTAACCTATCTCTAACAACCAGAGCTCGATCATTTTTGATAAGCAAGGAGGCCAGATCTGTCCAAGCTACAGCTACTTCCTCACTATCTCCTGATTTCATATCTCGATCTACTCTAGCTTCACATGCCGTTCGCGCTGCTAATTTATCTTTGTGGAGTCGTCAACTAAAATTAATAGCGAAAAGCTTAATACTAAATTTCAGAATATCCCATCACATATTTCCAACCACAGCCCCTGTCAATTCCAACTGAAATATTGGTAGTAGTTGATCCTGGAAATCTTTCTCCTCAAATAATAATGAAACCAGTAACCAACCAACCTAGCCTTATCTAAGTTTACACGAACCCAGACAAGCCTATGACCCGTGTAAACTATCGAATGAAAACTTGAACAATCTCAAAGCCCTACATTGACTCGCTTATTTAAAACTTTGATTTAGCTAGAATTCACCACCGAATCTGAGCCGCCACTCTTAGTCCAATTCCATACTACCTCTATATCGGGATCAAGGACGGCGTTCCAAATCCCCACAAAAAATTACCTGACAAGATATCGTCAAAAATAGCTTGATCCGTCGAAAGTAAGTATTGGTCTGCCCGTATAACTCATACCTTCTCTTATTCATGCCTGGCACCATTACTTCCAAATGAGCGGAGGTACATTTTTCTCTTTTCTCCTCCTCTCGTTATTCCATCTGAGACCACCCCAACGGGGAGGTTTTAACTGTCTTCTTGATAATTCTAATTTTAAAACGAGAGAATGAAGAGCTGTCTTATTTTAATCATTGATTTTCCATAACAAATATCATTTTCCCAGGCTTGGTCTGGTCTAGCGTATCCTCGATCCAGTCATATTGCCTCCAAAATCCTCTGGTTACTAGGTAGGCAAACTTGCATCTGAATTTAGTTTTTCAATTCCTTCAACGCAGTATAAATTCCTATTTCTCAACCTGTCCACACCTTCAAATATTATCAAATATTACGTTCAATTCACAAATTGATCTCTTTTTCCACCTGGGAATCATGAGATACATTTTCGTATGCGGATATAATCTGTATGTCACCTCGCTCTGTCTGTGCCATTTTATATTCTAAATTACCGCTTTTTATCTATTCCAGTTTATATTCCAAATTAACTCTTTTCTTTTACCTGTGTCACATAGTGTCACATCTCTCCCTTATCCTTTCTGTCATTTACTTGTATATGCCATCCACCCCCCCCCAGTGGTGTAGCTAGAGTAAATGTCATCCCAATGACCCCGATTCACCCTACGCTGAATGGTTAGCTGTAACTAAACATTCCTACATGCTCTACCTCTACTTTACTCTACTGACCGGTACGTTACTGTTTACATGTATGATCCAAGACAAAATCCAATACCACAAAATAATCAGTTCAAATCAAAAGATTTTTAAAATGCAACTGTTCACTTTCAGAACAACTAAATACAAAACACGGCAATACACAAAAGAATGACATTCGATACTATGGTCTTAGAATGAATGTTTTCTTGTTTTCATTGTGGCAAACTGGTCAATGACATCGTCAAAATCTGTTTGTCTTGTAAGCTCGTTTTCAATGGACAGCACAGCCAGATCCGACAGTCTCGACTGGCTCATGGTTGACGTAATTTTCTGTTGCTAATTTTCCGGTGTCCAATTTTCCGTTGCATCATTTTCTGGGTACCATTTAATTATCAATGATGTTTGAAAGTATTTTTTCTTGACAAAATGTTCTATTTAATTTTTAAGCATTTTTCAGAACATTGTAAATCAACTGCATTCTTTTAAAGGTTACCTAGAGAATTTATGCAAAGTTTATTTTTTGTTTTTCTTTGTACAAGTAAAATAAATTTACATCGTATTTTGATGTTATTATGATTTTAGTTTTAGTGATAATTTAAAAACTATAAATATTTATCACTAGTACCAATAATGGAAAATTAAGTTAAAAATTTATAAGAATCGTTTTTGGAATCGGAAAATAGGCACAAATAGGATTCCGATACCGTTTCCGATACCCCCAAAAGTTCCGATTTTTCCGATTCTCGATTCCGATTCCGATTAATCGTCCCAACACTAGTAGATATATTCAAAAGTATATCGCTCACTCAATGGAAAATTGTATTTCAGCTAATTGATACACAGGCAAGACTGAAATTGTTGCACTTTTGGCTTCGTATTGCGCTTTGTTGTTCTTAATGATGCAGAGTTAAAACACCATATCATCCGATAAAATGTTACAACAATGTCTCTTGTTAGTAACCAAGATTGTAGCAACTGAAACACATGAAAGCTGAAAACATTGCTATTTTTCCTACTCACAAATTTCCCGACAATTTATTAGAAAATTTCTGACGGGGGGACAAAACTGGGGGTCATAAATTATTTCTGGGGGAGGAGTCATATGCCCGCCTGCGAAACCCTGTGTCTCCACCACTGTTTTCAGACTATTTTTGGCAGCTTAGCCTGGTTGAAAAATTTTGTTGGGGGTGACATTGTGTCACCCCTCCTGTGCTGGCACCCGGGGCTGTCCGCCCCCTTTCCCCCCCTTAGCTACGCCACTGTCCACCCCCCACCAAATAATAACAATAATAAATATTAACAAAATTTGCTTGTAATGCATAGTTTTTCTACTAATCATGCAGTAGAATTTTTAAAAATCGGTCTTCTTTTACAGTTATAATCATACATTGTTCTCCGCACATAATGTTTCTACTAAATCACGCAGTAGAATTAAAAAATTTCTTCTTTTCCAGTTATGATCTAATTGTGGTGTTCTCGTCACCTCTTACAATTTAATTACTTTACCTGGGACTTTCAACTCTCCTTATTCTTGTTTCAATTGACTTCCTTTCGTTTTATGGTTTTACCTTCTTGGTCAAATCTCCTCTCCGATCGTACCCCATTCACTTTCACCGGTGCACCGGGAGTCGCATACAGAAGTCGGATCCGGATGCAAAAGTACGGCCCGAAAATACGAAAGTTACCTAACCCATTCCTGCTGTTCTTGTCCTTGCGTGTCAAATTGATCACACCCCTGGTCAAGCGTAGAGGTATAGACCCTCGCTTCATCCAGTTGGTAAAAATCAGTCCCAGCAAAGGAACAAAAACGGGCGTCTGCCTCAAGTACAATTCATAGGGAAGACCATCTAATCCCGGAGGTTTGTCCAGGCCAACCTGCTTCAATGCTTCCCAGATTACCGACACGATGATGGGACCCTCGCACCTAGCCGCTTCAGCTGCCTCAAGACAGGGGAAGTCAGCTAAATAGGCGTCGAACTGGGCAGGACTTTGACTAGGCTTCCTGGTAAAAAGTACTGACGAAAAGCCTCACATATGCCCGTGTTTGTAGTCATGGTCCTATGTGACACACGCGATATGTCACTGAGATGCATTCCGGACTTCCTCTACACGCATTTCAGCGGCCATATTCGTCGCCTCAGAGGACATTCTTTTTAACCTAGACCTAACTACCAGAGCTTGATCCTTCTTGGTAAGCAAGGAGGCGAACTCTGCCCTAACTAAAGCTACCTCCCCACCATCACGAGATTTGATTGTCCGATCTACTTTTTGCTCACAAGCCGTTTTCGCCGCTAATCTAAGTTTAGCCGACGACTATAATCAGCAGCAAACGTTCTAATTTTGGAATTTAAATTATCCCACCAGTCATTCCCAACCACAGCCCCCGTCAGTTCCCGGAAATCTTGCTTGCCAAATAATGAAGAGTTCAATTTCCATTTGCCAGCCATCCTAAGCTTAGGCTTATCTAAGTTTACACGAACTCAGACGAGCCTATGATCCGAATAAACTATCTAATGGAAACTTGGACACACTAAGAGCCTTACATCGACTCTCCTGACTAAAACTCAGTCGAGGCAGCTAGAACGCATCTCTGCACCCGGACCGCCCCTATTCATCCAAGTCCATACTACCTCCCGAGGGTGTTCATTCCAGTACTTATCGACAAGATCAATCTTGTCTATAAAGTCCTGAAAAGGTTTCACGTCCGGCTGTTAGTACCCGAATTTGACCCTATACGATCTATATCGGGGTCAAGGACGGCATTCCAATCCCCCGCTGAAACTACACTTTAAGATGTCGTCAAAAACGGCTCGTTCAGCCGAAACAAAGTAGGCCGCTCAGAATGGTCATTGGACGCATAAACCCCAATGAGACGAAGTGCATTATCCTTTATGGTAACATCCCAGCACTTAAAGCCTGCCCGCCGGATCTGTGAAGACAAGAGTACACACAGCCTTCAAAGACTTGCTCACCAGACAAGAGACACCTCTCGAGCGTCCATCAAAACATGCTGAATAGAGAGAAAACCCTCTTGAGAGAATGCCTTCATAATCGCGAGAAGAAAACCGAATCCCCTGCACACAACATATATTCACCCCGAGACGCTGGAGGTCACGAGAGAGCCTTTTCCTGCGAGACTCCGACCTCAGTCCCCGGGCATTCACGCTAGCTAACCAGAGAGCCACGATGAAACCGATTAGGTTTACCCTCCTGCATTGAACATGGCCGGGTTAAGGACACCGACGGCCTCTCCCATCAAACCAGTATCCATCTTTGGTGCCATCAGGTGACAGTCCACTGATGTCCAAGGGGAAAGTTAACTTTAAAGCTCTATAAAGGGAGGGGTGAACAAAAAGCGGAACCTCCCTGAACAATATTGCTTCAATTTGCTTACAGAATCGTTTTCGGAGCAGGCCATAGGCGGAACTATTCCAAAAACATCGTTTGCTTTCGTGACCATGGACTAAATCTTCTGACCAGCCTCACCAGATCGGATTACGGTCAAAACCCTTCTAGCTTCCAGGAAATTTCTTGGGTCTTCCACATGAAGTTTATTTAATTTTCTGAAATTTAAGAGTATTTAAATTTTTCATTTTCCTCGAGTATTGGGGTGCCTTTTCTATTTCTTTAGAAACCCGGCACACGTCTTCCCCTATGTTGTAAACAGGTTTAGGCTTTTTTTATGATTTGTTCCAGTTAATTCGGGCGACGGACTTCTTTGCCTTTTGGAATTTTCGGAAGCGACAGAAGTTTTGACAGGAGATGGCCTAGGGTTAATGGTTGTGCTAGAAGAGTTAGAATGGTCCTTAGATGATGCACTTTTATTTGGGGACTTTTCTAAGATTGTCATTTTGGAGGGGGTGGGAGATGGGGATCTAAGGACTGAAAGAGGAATCATTATTTATTGTTTTGTGGAAGGCGAAGAAGGTGCCGAGGAGGAAATGCCAGATTTTCTTTGAAGATTCTTCTCTTTAAGTTTTTCTTTCAATTGATGAAGTTTCTCAGCCATTTCAAAAGATGGTTTATACTTCAACTTCTGTTGCCGAATTATATCCGAATAGCTGGTCGGGGAGTTGCTCTTAGAACTGGTAGAGGGAATGGGACTCTTTGCGCCGTTACCCGTAGGAGATTCCGTGAGACGAGGACCCGCTGTCCAGAGTTTCCCTTGTATCCTTACTAACAACCTACCATTTTCCTTCTCCGCAACCGCACTAGTGACGGACAAAGGTTTTTTTGGAAATGGGGACCGTGAGACGGACCCAACCAGGTGTTTCACCACACCGGTCCTGGCTGCTGGCATGCCCATTACAGGCAAGACGGAAACAACACTCGGGCAAAGGGAGATTTGAATCGGCGGGGGTCAAAATTCTAGAGGCCTTCTTTTCTGATCAGGAAGATTTTTGACCAGTCTCACTACGCTTCCAGCAAGTTGGAATGCGGCCCTCTGCATCTAGGCGATGAAGAAAAAGGCCTTACGATTCACCATTATCTCAAAGCTCCATCCTCCGGTCAGATCGTCAGAGGAAGCACTGAGTATCTGTCCAAATTGGCACAAATAAGAGGCCACGTGTTCCCCGCCAAACTGTGTAGGGACCTCGTATACTGCTACAAGGTCTTGCACCTGCCTTGATATTCAGTCTTCAGAATGAGATCTTTCGTTATGAGGTCTCGAGTGCTGATGGCTTCGCAGTCGGAAGGTATGGGTAAAAGTATATCCCACATGAAAAACCCTTTTCCTTTTACAATACCGTCAATAGTATTTTGGTCATTTCCGACCTCCATATCTTCAGTTGAATTTTGGCCATTTCCGGTCACCATACTTTCTGAGGACTCCTCAATACCTTTAAATATCTCCGCATTTTCGTCGGTATTTGTTTATCTGGTGGTTCGTTTTTCTTTTTTGACTTCCAAATAGATTTTTTCTCATCGTCT